ATATTATTTGAATCAAATTGTATTGCTGCGATGTTATAATCGAAATACCTTAGAAAATTATTAAACTAGTTTCTTTTGTTATAATTTTTTTGACTATATATATATATATAAACACGTATTGAGAGAAAGTCTATTATATCGCTAATGTCGTAAAATTTTTATAGGCGTCCATTCATTCCGAGAAAAAAACATGATTCTTCATTTATCTTCACGTGCTTCTCGGAATAAAGAATAGAATAGGCTCCCTAGGGAGTCTATTTCTTAAGGTTTCTAAATCTGGTTTGCGGTCACTTTCTTACCGAGAAATGTTTTCCACTTCTCCTTGGGGAAGCGTGGCTCCTCACGGAGTGGAGGCGGTATGTCGATCTTGATGATGCTGCTGCCGGAACCATTCGGTAGCCCGGAATGTCTGCTCAGGCTTTCGATATCCTTTTCGTCCTCGTCGTCCTCGTAATAATCCGAGCCCGAAGCCACCCCGGACCACTTGTCCTTGTTTTTCGACAACGGCGCGCCGGGCAGCAACGGCTGCCGCTGATAAACGTCGCTGGACTGTGCCATCCCGCTGCTGTTTCCATCAACCGCCGCCTCGACGTCCCTCTCGTGGCCCTCACCGGCGCCCAGCGGTCGATCGAAGCTTCCGTAATCGCTGTGCAAACTGGTGGCCTTGGGATCCAATACCATCCTGCACAGAACAGAACTTCAGTTGTCCTAATTGGCGAATCGACTGGAGACGAGAACCGCGCCTTACATTCTAGAATCGCGCCGCCGCGGAAGCCGAGCCTGCTGGTACCGTCATCGGAAAATGACGCGAGAAGATGACGAATGCGAGATAAAAGAAAGAACTGTAGCTAACCTTGGCACGCGCTGTTTCTTCACGTGAAAGAATAATCGAGCTACTATTGCTGAATGCAAAACTGTTTCACGAGTCTGTATGTAAAACAAGAGCCTCGCTAGCCTCGCGTTATCCGTCTCATTGCATCGAATCTATTCGGTTGATGCAAAAACTTTGTCGGTGATGTGCAAAATTACGCAATGGAAAAAATTTACATCAATTTATACGACGTATAGATTTCATTCATTCATCACGTTTCATTTCATTCATTGCAACGTATCGAGTACGCAGTGATGAAATGAATGATGATGACGTATTGATACGTAATGAAACTTGGAAAATCATTCATTAATCTTTCCGAGTCGTAATACGCGATTGATCGCAAAAAAATTGCAGAATATAACACGGCTTCGTTCCTTTTTTTCTAATATACTCATTTCTCATTCCCCTGAGAATCAAAGTTTATTCTCGACATCAGCTAAATGCTGATCGCGACCGATAAAGGCTGATATTGTACATGACACAGTTCTGCGATCGGTACACATTTACCCGGAGCGTCCATCGCGCGTCACGCCCCGTAAAGCACGATATTTTTAGATCATTTATCGCCGCACAAAGGGAAAGGTTATCGCGCGAGCGGAAAGAAAATACAAACTTTGAATCCAAGTTGACCGAAAATATGGTAGGACGGATAACCGAGCGGCATATATCTACGGCGGTCTTGCCTTGCGCGATAACAGTCAGGCTCGTAACCGGAAAACCTCTTGCACACCCAGATATATTACCGAAAGCATGTGCGTTTGTAATAAGATAGTAATTTCATTTAAACGACGCACACAGCGATTGTTCAACGTCGGTCACATCGCGTTTGGATAAAAAAATTTTATTTTTTTACGCGGCATTTTTTACAATCCACTGCGATGAAGTAACGATCAAGTTACTTTACGTAATGATAAACACGATCGCGTTGAGCTCTGAGAAAGATCCTGGCATTTTTTTTACATTCCCGCGACATGTCTCTCCTATTACCTGCGTCTCACGCACACAGCACGTAATCTACGGAAATTGTGACGTATCGCGCAGACGAGTTTCCGGCAAAGACTAACGATATCATTTCTCCGGACGAATGCGAGATAGAAGATTGTTAAACCGGAAGTATCGCAAGGGAACACGAAACGCACTGGCGAGGCCTAACGCGATACTTTCGATTGGTGGTCGGGCTAGCACTATATTACGTGGCGAAGTGATGTGTCCATTTGAGGCATAAATGTTTAATATTCAAGTTAACGCAATATGTAATTTCGTGGGAAAGATAGCGGCTGCGTGGATAGCACCTCCGCCCGATAACTCGAATCGGTCATGTTTAAAGTTGAGCATCGTCCGTTTATTGAACGAATTACGGGCCGACGATGCAGAAAATGGCAGTTTGCGCTCGTTGTGGTCTAAAGCGTTTGAGAGAAGCGCTCGCGCCAAGTGATCCGTGTTAAACAATTGTACAATTGCAGCGTATCTCTCGGTCGAGCAATTTAAAATGATAAAAAAGATTTCCCAAATTTAAAACAAGAAGAGTCTTTCAAAACAAGTCTTTAAAATAAATCATTTCTCTTTTAGAGGAATATCTTTTTATTAAATTTTTTTCCTGTTATTAATATAAAGTAAGCTTTAATGGATTTTTAATTTGGAGCTCAAGCACAGAAATGTGAAGCGTGTAAAGTTCTAAAGCCACGATAAATGGCGGTCTACCTCGACATTTCTGCCAGGGCAAAATCGACTGCAAATTGGTCAAAGAAGTTGCCATTACTAGATAGCACGACAGAAATAGGGCACTCCGATAACACGATCCTCTTTATGACTCGGTGGAGGGGGGGGGGGGAGGGGAGGAGGTAAAAATGCGGGAACGCCAGGGCGAGGATTCAGCGCCCGGAAGACCTTTCGCGCGAAACGGATTCCCGAGGCGGATATTGCTTTTGTGAAGTCAAAAGGCGGGTTCCGTCGAAATGCGATCTCTCTAAGCCGTTTTCTTGCCCCGACAATGACGACGGGCCTTTTGACCTGAATGTCCTGACTTGCACGATTGATGATTCTCGTACGAGAAGAAAAGAGACTGATTCTAGAAGTTGTAACATTTAACTCAAACATGCCGTTCTTTTTTTTTTATGTTGATTGATATATTGAGATTCTCGTGTCGTGGAGCGCTCTTACGAAGCGCTTATCTTACGAATTAAAGATAAGAGGGAGAATGATGGGAGACAATCTTCGCGCAGGAACTACTCGTCAAAAAGAGCAGTCGAGTGATTAACCCTTGTTTACGCGCAATAAAGGGCTCGCTTCGGCTCTCAGAAGGCGTAGGGAAGAATAGCGGAAATGGGATACTTGAGAATTCTAATTATGTCAATTGGTCGTGATCAAAAGTCTTTTGTATGCGAAATGTATTTTGAAAAACATTACATTTTGAGAATTGCAATTGTAATAACGAAGTTATTTATCGAAAGAGTTTCGAAAATGCAAGTAAACAATTCACGCTCGAGTCACTTTAAAAACCAATTCTGACCTCTCGAATCAAGATGTTCTGCATAATCTGCTTAAATTTTAATACTGTAAAAGACCGATGTAGAGGCGTTTAGAATGCCACTGCGATTCATTTGCATAACGATGTGGGTTGTTGTAAATATAGCTATAGCACTGTCCATGCATGTCGCGCGCAATACCCGCGTGTATTGTCGCCTCTGCTTTATTCTAATTAGTCCGCAAAGCTTATTACCACCGCACGCAACGTAACATTTTGTCACACCTAAATCGGAAAGCTTGCGTCAAACTTTCGAGGGTGGAAAATCGGACGGGCGGGTGTCACGGTCGTCAATAAAGTGTCCTGTCAAACGGCAGTCCCGACTTCAAGGGTTAAATATCGAGCGTTTGGGATTTTCTCATCTTCTTTTTCGATCGCCGAACTTTTTTAATGCGCTTACTTTCGCGACACTGTGCGTACATAGCACTCGCAACGATACCAAGCCTCATAAGGTGGATTATTTATTTATTCAGTCGGAATCATTTACAAGACCTTATAAAGAATACTAGCGAAGGAATAGAGTACTTTTTCTCGCAACAGGTGAACAGGTTCACATAACTATGTTCGAGAACATACGACACAATGTCCGGCGACTCGTAATCAATCAGCGCGGAAGTACGACACAACTTTGCGATACAACCGGGTAAAGGTATCATTACCGTTTATTGCGACGCGATAGTCAAATTGCAGCGCGCGATCGTGACTTATTTACATTGTAAAACGATAATCGCGACGATGAGTTTCTGACGTGATAGAAAATGCTGACTGTCGGTATGTAAGCGTCATCGGCCGACGGCGAGAATTTATGGCTAATTCTGTATTTGTACGATTACAAAAGCCCCATTATTTGTTTTCACGCAAATTTCACGAAAGAATTAGCGTGCTGTGTATCTGCTGCTCGTTATGAATATATATAGTACATACATTGGTGATAAGAATAGCCATATGTATCACATATTGATAACAGACTAAAGATCCCGCGTTCGTTGCGACATTACTTCGCGAATAAATACGTTAATTGTGCTCGTGTAGAATATTTCAAAGTATATATATCTAAGAAATAATTTCAAGTTAATTAACTGATTAGTCAGTCTGTGCAGCATAATGTTTTTTTATTTTCGGAGCAGAAAAATACATTCTTATCGGATTCCGATATTTCGCTAATCGTATCGCAATACGATGGTTTGAACAACATAAACTAAATTTACGCAATTCAACGAAAAGGAACGTGTGATTTATGATGCAATTGATTGATGCAGACACGAAATATGTAGTCTAAGCTCAACAGACGAAGAAATGTGATTTACGACCAGGTCGAATACATTATCGCGGCAGCGATCGATCATTCGGCACTCCTGGCGATTTATATAATTACCGCTACCGCCAACGGTGCTTATCCTTTGCGCTTCATCCCTAATCTTCGCGTAAAGCGATCCCATCGCGTTGCAGCAGCTGATACTGCTCGTAATTATCGTACGCCTGTGGGTGTAATATTGTGCCGTGCACTTAAATTAAAAGCGCCACTCGAAATTACTACCTTGCCGCGCGTCGCCGCAAAATTTCGCGACTGCCAAGTAATTTGCGGAACTGCACGATTTTCCTGTTGCCGTAACGGCGTAAAATAGAAAATTGTACGTGACGCAAGTTTTAGATGGCTTCAACGAAATTGTAAAGAACGAACCTTTTTCGCGTGCTTCGTCGTGCAGCGAACGTGGTACTCGCGACTCAGCTATTTACATAAGAAGAGAAGCGTCGTCATTTCATGTTTGACTGGATCATGTTACGAGAATAATACTTGATATCTTTATCAGGGGATGAAACCCGACTCGATCGTCTTAAGCAAAATGTCATTGTCCGATTGTTTTCAAACAGCTTCAACAAAAGAGCGTTATCTAATTTTTGTGTACAAAAGTTTATCATTTCAATTTTTCAGACGAAGAATTTATTAAATAGGAGAAATTAAATTAATCACAATTCAGAAACAACTAATAAATAATTCAGAAATTAGATCAATATGAGAAAACTTTCCATCTCCGATTCTATCTCAGTTTCTTTAAAGGATTTCACGCGTTTTAATCAGCCGGATAGTTTCTCGCATAGTGGAAAATTAATATACGCATTAATAACAATATCTTCTCCCGAGAGATAAATACTTATGTGCTTTCGTGACCGCAAGGGTTATGGAAACTCACGGATATCGATCGGCGGTTCAATCACCGCTGACTCGGACGCGGTCCAGTAAGCCGCATGAGAAATCTCATTAAGAGATTCCTGCTATTTCGCT